CGAGCGATCGGCAGTTATCTCCGCGATCTACAAGCGCTGGGTCGTCTCCCTCTCGCAGCGCCTATTATTTTTCGTTATTTTTTGTGTTTGCCAAATCATGCGTTACGTTGCAGCAGCGCTTCGACGCCGAGCTCCGGTAATTACTGTCGCGAGCGCGAATAATAATTACCTCGCCAGTGCCGCCAGTGTATCTCATAAAAAATGTTCATTTTTTCGCCGACGAGACGCCAATTCAACGGCAGCGAGTACGATCCGATGGAGATGAGTTTGGAAAAACGAGAGCTCTTCAACGTTTTCCTCTTCCTTTCTTTCTTGTTTTGGTCGAGGATTGATAATGATTCGCGTTTTCCTCGTGCGGTTCGCACGCCTAATCACGCCTCCGGCGGAAGCGCGACGTCATTATTCGAGCGTTGTTCATGCGGCAGTGTAAACCGAAGCCCTGGCACCACACCGACATCGTTACAATGTGTTTGCGGGACGCCCCAATCGATACGTCAATTAATTTTTGAAAGGAGCCTGCTCTTGACTAATTTAAATGGCTAGACGGTTCACGGGGAGGGAGGAGAGGGGAGGGCTCATGCACAACGCACCTGGCGATTTCCTCCTTTCCAAAGCCGCGTTTTTGCCCACTATCATTATCGTGACCACATTACGGCGCAACGCGAGATACGCGCAGTCAAGAGTTAAATTCTGACCGCATCTGTACATTCGATAACGAAGTTACTATAATACATACACTTAATACAAGTGCACTTGAATTCAAGCGAATTCTTGCGATGTTACGATGAGACGATAATTCCATGTTATAGTCCGATTCGACTTGCGAATATAAAAATGTTGACTCACGACGAACGTTCGACCCGAGTCGAAATTTTAATTCCACGTTAATCCCGCACATTCTGCTCGAGGCTCGAAAGACAAAGAGGCTCGAGAAGAAACATAATATAATATAAGCGGGATAATATAGTAACTGCAATTATTCGCGAATTTACAAATAAAAATTTTAATTTAAATTCAACACGACAACACAGACTAGACAGCAGTATAGAAAGAGAATATTGATGAATTTTAATATAATCAAAACTAAGATCTAAGAAGCATCATTAGCAAAATGCATAAAAATGCGCACTTGCGCAGATTTTTGTGTCTAATGATAATTCTAAGATCATTATTCACAACTGTGAATTACTATTAAAATCTTTGTTCGAAAGCATAATTAGTTACACATTTGTATTCAAGAATTATCGTTGAGCTATTTAGACCTGTTATTAATATTTCCTGTTATATAAACCTAATCCAGATGCAAGTTGACAAATAGATGTAAGATTTATGAAGCTACAATTATTCATCAAATAACGACATAGCACGAATGTCGGTTTAAATTTCGCTGTTCGGAATATCTTCTTACTTTCGGTAAATATAATTAATTATATTTCATCAACTAACATCTGTATCTATTTCAAACAAGTAATATTGTTTTGTAATAGCTGAATAATGATACATGAACGCGAGACTGCCATTAATTATATCCTCGATCAAAGCTCATAAATAACACAATTGTGAATACCGGTTTGGGAAGTTAGCGTAAAAAACTTGTTAGGTTCTTTTTTTCTCAAATTATACTTCCTGTATCGCAAATTTCATTATATTGACACCTACCTAATATATTCTTTTCACTATTGTTTGCAGGATGATTGTTATTATACGAAGTTCCAAAGTAAATATCTATTGACGCTCAGCGTTAATGGACACAAAACTGCTATCTTTGCCTTCACAGCTTTTTCATTTCCGAATTTTTTAAGAATTTCAAATTTCACGAGAATTTCTAACGCACAAAAACGAAACGAAAAAATTACGAATTAAGAATTTGGGGATTTCTTCCTTTGTTTTATCCATGAATTTTATTCTTTTTCCGTATTAATTATTCGATATTCAATTACTTCACATATTTTAACTGTTAAAGAAATTACATGATACAGCTAGAACATCGAGATGACCAAATATCAAATTCTAGACATTCTAAATTGAGTTGAGATTAAATCCTTCGAAGTTCAACATGAAGAGAAAAGAAAAAATGGCAATAAACAACTGCTTAAAAATTATGAATAAAGATTAAATATAGCTGGAATATCGAGATAACCAAATATCAAACCCTAAACACTCTAAATTGTGTAAACGCTTCACTATAAAGTGCAACGTCAATTAATCGCTCTCGTAATCGTGAGTCCTTACGCGATACGTTACCGAAGGATGGCGCGGTGATTATCCAATTACGAGATCTAATTTCTCGGCTACCGATTAGAATCACGTTGATCTCTCGGACGTTAATAAACACACGGTCGCACACGCAAACTTGCGACTTGCGAGAACAGATGCGGACGTTTATCATCTGCGGCGGGGCCCTCCGCGACGCATCGCAAGCAGCAACAATGCGAAGGTGCGGCGCTGTATCTCTGGGGATCTCTTAAATTTTAATTATGGTGTTCGCACCTACTAAACAATTATCCTACGCCCTCTTCTCCGCCTCCCCCCCCCCGCTCTCCCGCTGTTTCGCGGCATACGTGCTTCTCAGCTGCGCTCGACGTACGAGAGAGGGGGAGAGAGAGAGAGAGAGAGAGAGAGAGAGAAAGAGAGAGAGAGAGAGAGAGTGTGTGGCTGGATCGAGGGCCCGCGGTCTCATGTAATTTTCATCGAGTGGGTGGATACCCATTATTTCGCATTACAGGGTCCTTACGAGAGAGGTAAGATCGTGCCGGTGGATCGAGCGGGACGATCGGGACGGCGCGGCATTAACGCGGGGACCCGCGATTTTGATCCTACGTGCAATTTCGCGCGAACCGCGAGCGCACGACAATCGCAAGAGCTTTCTCGCGCGGCGGGCTTTTCTTCCTGCGTGCGAGCGATGCCTGCATGCGAGCGTTATCGGCGAGAAGCTTTCAACGGCCGATGCTTGGAATAGTCGGCGCGAGACATAAGCCGTGGGCCGTAAATTGAAACAATCGGGTCTCTTGTGATTGGAAAGTCTCTCGTACGAGAGACGTGAAAAACGAGTTCTTGGCTTGTGTAAAATATTTATTTTACAGTCTCAACTTCATTCTCGGCGCGAGATAGAAACTGACGCTAGAGTTCGCCTCGTTCCCGCGGCGAAATTTCTCAATCGTCAATCAAAAGGAAGTTTGGTGTCGTTCGAGCGATAACGTGATTCCTTCGTGATTCGTGAAATTTGCTTGCGAATATTTGCTGTTAACAGCGGATAAAAAAATTCTATACCGAATGTTTCATCGATATTCGACTCGATCAATGTTCGATCGAGTTAAATGTAAAACAAGCCTGATTTCGTACGTTGCGTAGGTGAACTGATTTATTTTTTGAATGTCGGCAAAAAAATTTCGCCGCTTAGAGAGAGAGAGGGGGGGGGGGAGAGAGAGAAAGAGAGAGAGAGAGAGAGAGAGAGAGAGAGAGAGAGAGAGAGGGAGCGAATGCTGTTACCGGACGAAATTGCGCGAGGGTGCGCCCCGCGCGGCGAACATTTTAACACAATGCCGTATCGCCGTTGTAACGTCATCTTTTTATTTCTTAATATCGGATCATTAGCGGCGGGCATTAGCGGACGTTCCGAGCGCGAGTTAACGATAACAGATTGTACAGCAGGGCGCGATGTTTGCGAGCATTATTGGCGCCACTTGTACATCGTTACCGGTGTACGTGACGTATCGGCGGGGTATCAGAGAGATCCGCACCATCCACCATATCATTATGACGCCTCGCAGGCAGAACTATCGATCCCGATCGATGATATTAATAGTCGCTAACTACAGTCCTCCGAGCCGCTCGCTCGCAAGCTCTACAGCAAGTTTCAGTCTAAGGAGGCGCTCGCGCCACAGCCCCGTACTCTCGGCCTCTTTCATTATTCGTCATGCTAACTATTTATAATTGCCGCTCGTCGGGTATACATAAACACACGCTCGCGCGCGGAATTGCCGGGTGACGACGAAACGGTGTCGCCGTGAGATTAACGAGATAAGAGCAACGACTGACCGCTCAATCAGATAGGCGCTGTTTTCATTTTTTATATGTTGATTGATTGTCGTTCACGTCTTATTGCTTATTATTGCGTACGCTTGTCGAAAAGTTGTCGAAAAGATATCGTGACAGCGCTTAAACATTGGCGACACATGTCGCGACATGTCCGGACATGTTTCAACATGTCCGCCAATGTCGGCACGGAAAAAAGTTTGGAAATTGAGTCACTTACGTTTACGAGTTCGCCCAAGATTTTGCTTCAGTCTCGTTTGCCCTCCTCCTCCTTTTTCTCCTTCTCCTTCTCCTTCTGGTTCTCGTTCTCATGATTCGCATCCTTGGATCCTCGCGAATATCTAAACAAACATCATCATATATACATATATCGGTTTGTCAGTCAAAAGCGCGTCCGTTCAATGCTTATCCGCCACGTATGTTTTAACCAACGATCCAACGGTCCCCAGTCCAACGGTCTAACCGGTATTTCATGGCGTTTCGACAAATGAATCAAGACAACAATTACCATGTCCGATTAGTCGCTCGGTGAATTCTCGACGAGACGACGATGCTCATCAAAATCCACGACATCAGAACAGAAGCCGTTTACCGGTGACTAACAAATTACCGGACAAACTCGCTCGGCTCCATGGCGGCCAATGGCGGCAGTCTGCGGTCGCGCACGATCGATGTATCGAAGCGTCGCGCGCTTTCTCGATATGCGCGCGAGATACGACCTAGGGAATTCGCTGGGCGGCCCGACGAGCGGTCACTTCCGGCGCGCGGGACTGGTGGAAGAGCAGGTTCGAGTCGATACCCGCTGCGAGGCGAGGGCGCACGCTGTCAATGGTCTGTCAGCAGGCCGCGCGCAGCCTCGAGCGAGATAATAAACAAAACGAACGATGGCTCTCGAGTCTAACCGACAATGCGTCGCATCGAATTCATGGTAATTTGAGTATTCTCTACGAGTGCGATATCACTTCGCGTCGGCACGGAGCGAATTCTCACAGTCGAGAAGAGACCGCTCTCTCGACGCCGTTCTCGCTCGAAAGAGCCGTCGCTCGCCGAGCGTCACGTGACCCACGAACGCGCACGAACGGAGTCCGATGCTCGAGCTCCGCACGGTTTTCAGGTTATGTTGACAGGCTGCGTTACCTCGGTCGTGCGGATGGCCTCGATTGGTCGGGGACGCTCGTGAAATCGTCCTCCTGTCTGGCGCCGCGTTACATAATTGTTTATCGGCTCGCTAGCGAGCGTCGCGCGACACTTATGGCACTTCGGATCCGCGGGCGCATCTGTCATACCGTGCAATTCCGAACACTCGCCGCGCCACATTGATCACAAAGCGTTTTCGGTTCGCGCGCGCTCATCCTCGTCGAGTGTATGTTGTAATATCGTGGATGCGTGCCTGAGTTGGGATACCGCCGAGTAGTCTCTCCGAGGCCCCCAAAGTGATCCTCCAAAGTGAGCACTGCACACATGCAATAGGCTGTACTGATTTCAAAATAGCTGCGAGAATAGATCAGTCAACTTTTTAGGCGTTTGTATGTTGTCAGAGGCCTCGGTGTTGTATCCTCCTGTATCAATTTCCTCTCAACACTCGATTGATCCCCGAAGAATAGAGCAGCCTCTTTGCTCTTCTCTCTGTTAGAACGTACCATTGATATCGGAGAACTTGCACGAGAGGAATCTTATTCTCTGTAGCATAATTAGAATATTTTACAGACAGAAGGTTCTGGAGATCACAGTAGTTAATTTTCAGCTGCGAGATGACAGAAGGCGGTGTAACCAGAATCAAACGCAATGGTGCGCGAGTTTTTAAGAACCCACCGCAGCCGCACATGTGCATACAGGATTTTATACAGGTATCAGGCCATTGTTTGTCAACTGTATTGTTATTGTAGGGATTGCTGATATAACTCTTGGGTATCCGTGACACCTGTGTGTTATATAAATGTCGATTTTCTCGGTACAGGGCAGTACAGCACCTTGTTATGTAAATGTACTGTCTTGGGATAAGATTGCAATGCCTCGCAGACCTTCACTGCCTGTACCGCTCTATGGAGGTATGAGAGTGCCACCGCCTCGCACAAAGACAGAAGCAGTAGTTTTCGCTGTGATGGCCAATCCGGAGGTTCTACGAATAAGTGGCAAAAACGCTCAGGATCCAAAGGTAAGGATACTGTTTGTATACCTTTGTGTCAAAGCGATGTCTTATCAATAAGTGAAATGAATGTGACATCCAGTGTACCTATGATATCACAGCATATATGATTTCCTGATAGAAGCGTAGAAGCTTTATCGAGCTTCTACTCGACTTCATAGAGACGATGAACGCCGGCATAGTCTTCACTCGTCACTACACGATCTTGAAAGATCGCGATATCACTGGCGAGTTGAAGGAAGTGTGGAACGCTGTGCTAGCCATACGTGACAGCGAGCAACGGCCGCCCCAGCAGGAGACCTGGATCGACGCTCAACCCTCCGTACCGCAGTACCCTCAATATCCGGAACAGCAGCAGCAAGAGTACACTCCTCAACCGCCGCAGTATCATTCGAGCATCGCGTACGGCAGGGCAATGACTGGCGACGGTATGCACTTTGAGAGCTACCACCAACCTCCGAGCCCGGTGATTCCACAAAACGATCAGATCTATCAGTCCGGGCCGATAATGCCGCAGCAATACCACGGCAACGATCCGCGAATAGCTCTCGATCGTTACAACTATCGTGAGCGTGGCAGAGGCGGTCAGATCGTGTCGGGTATCCCGCAGCAGAGCTGCCCGGCCTATCCAACGGCACAGTATCAGTTTCAACAGTTGCCCAGGCAAATGATGCCGCAGTACGTGAACTCCAGCGTGCACCCCAACTCGAATCTAGCATATGGTAATCCGGCCGCAAATAGCCAATCGGCGATCAACCCGCCCTTTCAACCGTACATCTCGTATCAGCAGCAACAGCAGCAGCAACCGCTACCACCGCGTATGGATAACGCGATGCACGTTGATATTCGCAGGATGCAACAGCAGCAGCAGCAACAGCAGCAGCAGCAGCAGCAGCAGCAGCAACCGCCACCACAAATGCATTTAAATCATGTGCAGCCGTCATACGAGCAGCCCGGGCCGTTCAACGTGCGCACAGCAGGCAGGCCGCACATGGGAGTGGTTCAGAAGAATAACGCCACCAAGAGACAAGTAAATTCACCGACGCACATCTCCTACGGGAATTGCCAAACGAAGGACGATCAAAGCGGCGCGAAGCCGAAGAGTCCCGTTAAGGTTCTACAGAGGGAAATACCGACGGAGCGACAGGAGACGAACAATCACGCAGAAAATAATAAGACTCCCATGGAGAAGGCAGACGAGTCGAAAGTCGCTCCGATGACGGAGTCGAACGAAGATCCGAAGGAGACTGGCAAGTCCGACATGGATTTTTCGGATTCGTTGACTAAACAGGAGAACAGTGACAGCCAAGAACCCGCGCGTACTGTGGACGATACCTACGTGCCTACGTGCGAGGAGAATTCGGCAAAGGTAGAGAAACCCGCGGCTACGCCAGAGGCGAAAGAGACGGAAGTACAGCAGTCTGCACAGCAGTCTGCGCAGCAGTCAGCGCAGCAGTCAGCAGTTCAGGCAAAACCTAACAAGTTTGCTAGACGAAACGTGCGAACGGGTAGGGCGCTTATCGCCAAAGGCGACAAGCACAATTCGTTCGCGTTTGCGTCAGAGAGTCCGAAGCGCTCGCAGCCGACGATGAACAGCATCATCAAGAGCGTATTCAAGATCAGCCCGAGCGCGTCCGGCGAGGAGACATCCGGCAAAAAGAAGACGAACGGCCAGGTGAAGGCCAATGCCAAAGCAACATGCGAGAACGAGGAGGCTCAGCAAGGATATACGATATTGAAGAAGGAGGTGCAGGAGGAGATAGTGAGCGAACTTGCTCAGATATCTATTCAAGACTGCAAGGACGCGACCGAGGTAGTCGGTCCCGTGCTCTCGTGATAGCCCAGTCAGCCACAGCTGGCACGCTGTGCCGGTGTGCGACCCCGAGGGCTTCGATGTAAATAGATAGAACATTATTCAATAAGGAAGGAAGTGAAAAAGAGGAGAGATGGAGGAGACGAACACTGCGAATGGGAGAACACGCTTCTTGACGATCAAAAACACGATACCCTTGCGAGGACATTCAAAGTCCATACGGACGGGACAAAACGCACGCGTCTTCCTCTACGGGAGCTTCGACGGTCAGATCATCATCGCGCATACATACATTTGGACGACTCGTGTGCGTGCATGCGCGCGGCCACACATTGGACTTTACAGTTGCGTCGTTGTTACGACGCAAGTCGTAATTCTTCGATAGTCGGTTATCCGGAGGATGTATATTGATTCTTGACGACCCAACGTCCGCGATCACTCAACGCTCTTGGAAAGATTTTTGTTTTTTTTTTTATTTCTTTTTGTTGTTATTAGTTTGTTATCCCCGAGGTATAACAATTCGCGCGCGCTTCTCAAGAAACAGAGTGTGAGTCCCCAGGCTCTCGAGGTAAACCGGATTTACCGAACAGTGGGTCGTTAAGGATTAATCAGCAGGCTGTGAAGATTGTTGCGGACATTGCGTATGTGTGGCGGTCATATTAGCGTAACAATACTACGAGATCAACAGAGATATTTATCAGCCGTCGCCGACGAGATTGAGGTATCAGTAAACAGACCTATTCACGATCGAAGCAGGGTGCAATTTTGAATTCACTTGTACAGTTCTATTAATCAATGTTTACACAACGGCCATATTTAAAAGGTAGATTATTTTTTCTCTTCGACGTTGTTTTCAGTAGTAGTGATACAGCTATCTGTTATTATTATTATTATTATTATTATTATTATTATTATTATTATTATTGAAATTTTCATTATTGTCCCGAATAATACGCGTCTAAGTCTCGGTACTTTTTATTAAAAAGTTGCTCCCAAACGGGATTTCAAATACGTCGGACTTTTATCTCTCTCTCGCGGATGAATTTATTAGATTTTCATTTAGTTGGATTAATTATGAGTGAACAAGATTCAAGATCATGAAAGATCCAACAATTTTTTACGATATATTTTATAAGGAAAGATATGTTTTTTTTTTTTTTTTCATGTATAACAATATTAATTTGTTAAACGTTCAAATTTTGATTTTTCAACTAGATATATATTTATCGCGATGGAATAAGATATGCTGTTCAAAATAATCAGAGGATTACGTTTTTAAACGTTCGTATTGTACAATAAATGTATATATATATATATATATGTGTGTGTGTGTATATATATACATCTGTTGTTTTCGGAAAATTCTTAATACTCCCTACTTTGTGCCCTCCGATGGATATGTCGTGCGCAACAACGCGATTTTAGCGCTTTTAATTGTTATATTATCGTTCGACCAGATTCGCAATGAGCCCCTGATCGTTTTGAGCAGCGTAAATTGCCTGTAAAGCAGTGCGGTATTTTTATTGTGTACCCACTACGGCGACGAGCGCCAAATCGTAATGAGAGCGTTTGAGGGTGCGAGCTCACGTTCGGTATTCGAGATCCATCTACATAATAATCACTTTGCTTCCAATGTATCTCGCGGCGAAAAAGGTCGGGCGTGAGCGGACAGTGATATTAAATACTTTTAAGTGTGTACGAGATTCCGAGGCGCCGTCTCGTCGTCCCTAATGCGCTGAATGCACGAAAACGAATTGAGGTTTCTCTTTGAATTTGACTAAACACCACCGGAGCTGGGCGGAAGCATCGCACGAACGAATAAATCTCTGCTGCGCATGTATGATATATGAATACTATAATATATAATATATTATGCATATATATCGTAATATATATATTATAATATATATATATATATATATGCAAATATTATTTACATATCATATCAGAAAAAAAGAAAAGAATATACAACAACGTACAGTGTGTCCGAGAATGTATCCAAGTGCGCCGCGATAAGCTGGACAAATCGCAACAATGTGAATATCCTCGTTGGCCATACGATGGTCTGTCACACGTCTGTATTAACGCAACTGCAAGTTATTCTTATGTACCGACTTATTAAATTACTCGCAGGCAGATTACTTCGTTCTACCATCGGAATGCCGATGTTTTTTCGCCCAGCCGCGTCAAGTACGCAGCGACATTGCCGACTCTCCGCGACGACTCGAGAGTCTTCAGGTAGACTCAATTGTACGGAGTAACGCGAATAATCACCACAGGAAAGCGAGCGTTATCGTAGATTAGTAGTGAGGCGAAAGAAGATGACAAAAAGGACAAGCATTTCACACATAGAATATGTAACAGTCACAGTCGGTCGTCTCGTACTTATCTTCCTATACAAAGCGATCGGAGAAGTCTCTCTCTCTCTCTCTCTCTCTCTCTCTCTCTTTCTCTCTCTCTCTCTCTCTCTCTCTCTCTCTCTCTCTCTCTCTCTCTCTCTCTCTCTCTTTCCTTCTCTCTGGAAAAATCTGTCGCGCCACGCGATAAAGCTTCTCTTTTTGGTTCGCGTATGCGGCCTCTGCGGTATCCTCACTCCTTGAATTTGTAATATCGTTATGGGAATGTCGAGTGTCTCGCGAGATAAAAACAAGAGGCACATGTGGGTTTGTACGTTACTTTGCATATTCGCGTGCTCGATGCACGTCCTTTCCTCTTTTCCTTTTCTTTCCCTTCCGAGGGAAAAACCACGATCTACCGGTTGCGCTCGTACGAAACCGCTTATCTGTCTTTCGCGAACGCGTCTCAGTTCTCACTACGACACTTCATCTTCCGACTTTCTGTTCGATCAAATGATCATTCGTCTTCACGAACGATCTTCCTCGACACGCCAAATACTCAGCGCGCGAAATCGCGCGACTCGGGATGAATTTGCCGTGTAATGTTTCAGCCGGAGAGGCGTACGAAACTGTGAAATTGCATACACACACACACACACACACAAACACTCGGCTAGCAGTTGTGACGAATGCGCCTCTTGGTTGAATAATCTGCCAGTTCTTATCAGCCTAAGAAGAAAGAGTTCGTGCATCACGTATACAGCCTGATCGGGAAACTGATCGCCCGATTGGCCCCCGATCAGTCGTGAACGACTAGGTCGCGCACAATTATTTTCCTATTTATACTATAATTAAGCAACGTGTCCAAACGCACCGCGCATCGGCGACCTGCCTCTAGGAGCTGAACAAGAAGAAGAAGAAGAAGAAGAAGAAGAAACAAGAAAAGGAGGAAAAGTTAAATGAAGGAGCAAGCAGAAGAGTCTTAGAGAATCTAATGTTTAAACGCGTTAAACAGTCACCGATACTCCTAATGCTAGTGAACGGTCTTCTAAGCGTGAAAGTAGTATCTGGCCTCCGATTTAGACGTGGTCGTTATACGCACGGCGTCCTTTGCATTCATCAGGTTTTCCGATTTCGACAATTTCGGGTTGAACGGAATATGTCTTGAGCAAGAAGAGACTTGAATGAGAGTCAACACGAATATTTTAGACGCGACAGCGTCTGCTTGATTTAGATATGTCTGAATCGGGATATAACTGAAGAATATTGATAACGCTGAGTGTATATACGTCAACATTTCTTATAATCGCTGCCACGGTAGAAGTGGCGGATAAAGCTGCCATTTTTAAATTGAAATAGTTGGAAAGAGTCAGTTTTCGAGTCGCGTCGATGGATTGCTGCAAGCCGTGCGTGAGTAGGTAACGATTGGCTGTCTTAGATCCGATCTGATGAGGAAAACACAAGTCGGCTTTGTCAAAAATATATTTTTATACTTCACAACGCGGACCTACCGGAGGGAGTCTGTTTAGGAATTGGGAGATTACCTGCGCGGAAGCTAAATATATTATTTTTTTACGGATGACAAAAAGAGTGAGTTTTATATGACATAAGTGAACACACGCGGTCATTATTGTGCGTACGTAATCGAAGAATGCTTCTGCCTTCCCGTTTTTCGTCAACTGTTGTCCGAGACTGAGTGCCGCCACTGAGCTTTTTACTCGCATCTTTCATTCCCGACAAATTACAGTCGAATCACCGCATGCACGACGACGTACTCTTTTAAGTGTCATTTTTAAGAAGTAATTGCTGCTAGTCCTTATTCTGTAAAGGAAAAACGAGGAAAAGAAAGAGGAGAGAAGAACTAAAATTAGGGGAGAGTGCTCTGATCGCCATCTTATATTACTATACATGTTAACGTGAAGATGTATGTAAATATGGAAACGGCATTTTTTATAGGAGAAATTGCCTTTAACGATTTCACCGTTCTTCGGATATTACGCATATTACGTTTTCTCAGCCTAATAGTTTTAAGAAGCGATTCGGACTCCACTGCGGACTCTTTCCAGCTGTTGAAATTTTGCGAGCCGCACTTTTATCGTGATCCTCGTCGCATGCTTCGATATTTTAAGGTATACCCGTGAGAACCTGTGAACCCCCGTTTCAACCAAGAGATACCGCCTCTCTCCTTAAATTTTATTTCCGGACCAGCCATGTTAGTCATGTTTGTTCAGTGTATTCGAGGTGCTTCGTTAGTGACGTTAAGATCCCAGTTCGCGAGTAGTTGTTGTTATGTACAATCGCACGGAGAGGACCAATCCGCAAAAAATGAAGAAAAAAGAGATGTTGAGAGTAAGAAATAAGAGAGAGAGAGAGAGAGAGAGAGAGAGAGGGACAATGCGCGCAATTGTTGATAAATGATAAATGTGTCGCATTAAAGGGATATGCGAGGAATTTTCTATTTTATTACTTTCCGTAAATACGATTTTACAATTGGCCGTAGATATTCGTACAAACGATGTGTATAGACGTGTATATCCGTCGTAAACGATGACTTTATTCTCGCGATATCGGTTTCTCTTTTTTACGACGTAAATATTACTTCAAATTTAATATACTAAGCGCCGTGTGATTGGTAAATCAGTAATGATTGCGATTAAACAAATGATTCTGCTGCGATGAGCCAAAATCGATGTGCGTTGTTTGTGTGATTTTTACACTCTATTATCTAAGATCGCGAGAATCAATGATTGACTTGCCTTGGATTGGAATAATTAGAATAACGAGGACGAACTCAGAATTAATTGATTAATTAGTCACTTGACTCGGATGGCTCTGTTATTTTCGCGAGACGCAAAATTCTATCAACGATCAACGAAAGAAGGACGTTGCGAGTGACTAGTTCTCTGACTAGTGATGTAATTTCGTATCGCAATTTTTGATTCTGTCGATGTAATGAACGGCGTAATGTGTTGCATAACTTTTTTGTTTCATTGTTTTTTTCTTATTCTTTTTTCTTTTTCCCCATTAATTCCCATTTCGATATATCGATATATGGCGCTTAGTGTATGCTAACCTAATGCTGAACTAATGTTCAGTTTGTGCAAAATTTATTCGGATAAAATGTAAATTGCAATATACATGCAAATCTTTGTTAACAATATTGAAATATCAAGGTTTCATCTCTAAAAGTTTTGAAAGCGCAACGCATTCTCGATTGCTGACGAGGATTCCACCATCGGTTTCACGGCGTAATCGTGATTGATTACGTTGGTTTTCTTTTTAATCTCTGTTCGATAGCGCGGCTTGGCCCTTTCTTCTGCCAAAACTATCCCGACGCCGCCCATCCTCTCATTATTGTTAATAATATGTATTCAGTATTCGTGTTATTTTAGAATCTTATTATTATTGTCAGGCATATTATGGTTTATTATATCATTATTACCATGAACATTGTACTCTATTATTATTCTATAATACATGGTTTTTTTTCCAATGCCTGTTTAGCAGTGTCGTCATTCGGCCACGTGTGCGTTATCCGCTTGTACTACGCATTTAAAACGCGTTTAAAACGCACGTTATCGATTAAACTCATTACCTCGATCGATCATTATCGATCACAATAATACGTACTTACGTTGTCTCTTACGCTCTTAATCATACAGGACGTTTTGTATAAAGTAATCGATTTAATTATTAGAGAAATTTTAAGACATGAAAAAATAGTTTATATCAACATCTCTTTAGTACGAGGAAAGAAATCGCACAGTGGAGACGATTACTTCATAAGTGAAAGCATTGAGGACAATTCAAGATATTAACTTCATTTTTTAAGTGGAATATATTTTCTAACCTAAAAAATAAAATTGGCTTTGAGATGTCCTCAACGTTTCAACTGAGATAATCGTTTCCACTGTATATGATTTCCCTCTCCGTACTAAGGATGTCGGTGTAAACATATTTTTTTTTCATATGTCTTGAAATTTTACCAATATTAAATCGGTCTTAGCTTTATACAAAACAGGTTGTGTAATCCGTAGAGCGCATCGTATATATACGTAGTATTGTGTATTTGAAAGCGATCCTCGGCAAAAAACGCATAAAAAAAGAGGAGATTCGTTTATTTGTTTATTAAGCTGTTTTTTAATGTTTGTTTTTTTTTTTTTTTTAATGTTTTTTATGCGATATGTCACGTGAAAAGTTAGTTACGTAAGAATATGACTGATGCAATCGCCGCGTGTGCTGAATTACAACTTTCGAGATGATGAATAAATTTTTGGGATGGCTGGCGGCTAACCGACGCGATGAGAGATCGAGACCGTGAGACGAGAACCGACATGTTTTTACCATCGCTCTTACGCTACGACGCCGTTTTGGTACTTTTTTAACATCGAGTACAGGAATACGAGAAGAGCGAAAGGAGGGAAACTTTCCTTTCCCGCCAAACGAACCGTGAGACGACGGCTCTCAGCGAGTGCGCTGAACAAGCTCGCGCGCCGTTTGTTCCTCCGCGCGCGATGCAGTTCGATTTCTGCCGTCCATCTGTCGTTTCGTTCAATTTGCGACAGTGACGTGTGTCTTTCCCGGTGATAAACCATAATTTGCGGGCGAATTATTATTGCGTCGGTACCGGTGAACGGCACGACTGCGGAAATCCAGTCGATGAGACCCTTCCTCCGCCCCCTTGCCCGGAAATGTCATGGCCAAATCGCGCGAAAATGTCGCGCGACGTCGATTACCATCGCGAAAGTGTCGCGAATTTACGCGGTGTCTCGGCGAACTTCTCGCCGCGTCTTCGTCTTCTCATTAATTTAATCGCCGATTTTTCAGAGTGAAGCGTTTCTCGGTGTGAAAGTTGTGCACGCGATGTCATGCGTCGCACTTGCTTCCTCGTGACAAATTTGCAAACGATTCGTAACAGGCTTTATATAACGTGTGCTAAACAGTTTTTTTAGATCACATCATACACACACACACACACACGTGGACTAACAATTTTTTGCATTTGCATAGACATTTGTTAGAAAGAGGAAAAGATCAAGGCGGTTTCAACACTGCAGTTCTTAACACACATTTATAGAATAGAGTTTGTATTATCACGGACAAATAAAAAAGAGAGAAAGATGTTAATTTTTTTGAACTTGCGACATGTATGGAGAAGAAATATTAGATGAGACACATGACGTCGACATGACGACAAGCGCGCTTTGATCGAAGAAAATTCAGACTCATTTCTGTTGGACACGAGTTCCTGCAGACGAAATTTCTGCCTCTTGGGAGCCGGAAATTCTGTTCCCTTCGACCAAAATCAACGATTAATCGTGTCACCGTCAATTAATTCAGCCAAACTATTTTCTTCGTGGATGAATGGTAATAGTAACGACAAATTTATGTAACGACACAATTTTCGCGATCAGAGATGCGGGCAATGATAAAATAGAAAAATTAGTGACGGGGAGGAAAAAATGCAAGGGGGAATAGTGATTCTTATCGTTCCTCTTATCATCTCTCATCATCGCCAGTAAGGATCGCACTCGCGAAAGGAGGTGGTGCTGTAGAACTAGCCATGCACGTCGATACAGGAATCTCGTGTATCTACCTGTACAACGTACAACTGTTGTACGATGGGAGGGAGAGAAAGGACTGGAAGCGGATAGGTGTTCCTTTCTCCAACAGAGCGCTGAAAACCGGCTAGCCGCTCTTGCGGCGACTCCAAGTGCGGTTAGTGCGATGGAAAGCTAAAGAGTGTACGCCTCGCGGGACTTGCGAGGAGTAGCTGTTCGAGATTTCGCATAGAAAATTCGCGCCTTACCGGTGCGTTCGATCCGATCGAACTGTCGCGCCTATAACTGGATGAGCCAGCATCGCATGTCCTTTACTTCACAACTGGTCCTCAGCCAGCTCACAAGCCTCAGCCAGGATGTTTGAGAAATTAACGGACGACGCCGTCGTAAATGGTAAGTTGATGACTGAGAAAAGGAGCGTTCTTTGATTTTTGATCGAAGCTACTTCCGTCAGCTGAATTCCGTGAAATCATCCACGTGGGAAATCATAGTATATGTGAAAATTCAATTTGGCTCGGTATCATGCGTGTATGTGTGTATGTCAGTGTTGTTTTCAACGAATTAGGTCTTGGGTATCTCTTGATTTGTTTTTTATCTAATGTAAAATATGTACATTTTTAAGTATAACTTTGGAGAACGAGTGTTTCGGAGATTTCTTTTAGATGAACAAGCCGCGCGTTAAAGTACTACTGAATTTGTTTCATTAATATTTCAAGATATCCAGTGACTTCTTAATTTAGAAAATGCCCTTTCTTGGCGAGATGTTTAAAAAATCAGTCAATTTTTATCGAGAGATGTATATTTTTTTAATTATAACGTTAAACTTTTATATCATTACATATATATAATATTATATTGTATTATAATATAATATATCGTAACATTATTCATATTAAAGTTTTAATTAAAAGATATTTGATATTAATGTTAGAAACAACGATCGCGATTAGTCAGTAATCTTGATAATCTTCGGAAAATTATATTCATGTAATGGAATGCTGTTAGCGCAAGTTTTAACGCAAGTTAAAACGCTGTTTTTGTGTGCGGGATTTTTTCAAATTTTATCGAATAAAACCGTAAAGGCTCCGTGTACGTATGCACGTACCGTGAAGTGTGACTACCTGAAGAACGCATTTGACAATACGGTTCTACTAAAAAGAATTCGAAGTAAATAATTTTAAAAGATTTACGAAAAATATGTATGCATGGTTTGATATACAGCCGCTAATCTTCATTGATTGTTCTGTATATATTAGATTAGATTAGATTAGATTATCGAAATAATGAAAATTGACCTGAAAAGAGTATTTTCTTTTCTCTTTTCTTCTCATCGGACGCTTACAAGACGATCGCGTAATGCGTCATGAAAGTGAAGTTAAAGAATAGAATGTGCTAGTGAGTGAAGTAGCCTTGACTCACATTCGTTCACACTTGTTGCTGTGTCATAATTGTCCATAACTATTACCTTGTTAGTTATGCGATCTTAATTTGCGTTGAAATATATATAATTGCGTTATAATCTTTTGTTAGTTAAATCGAAGATCAGAACAGAACTGATACAATTTCGATAAATTCGGTTTTCTATCTTCTATGGAAAGTCGTAGCTTGCACCAGTCTCGATTTCATCACAGATCAACTTGGGAGGGGATCACTCTCGTGTGTGTGTGTGTGTGTGTGTACAGTTGCGAAATGCAGACTCACTTAAAGCCCCAAGCGTTAAAGCATAGAATCTATCGAGCCTTAGCTTTTCGAATCAGATGCGCAAACGTTCGAATATCTATCTTACTAAAATTTATAATAATTAAATGTGAGTCGAATTGATACATATTCACGAACGTGCAATTAGTTTATCACTTTGGTTTATTTTAACCACAACGCTTTTGTATACGCGATAATTTTTATATTCACGATTAATATTGCTAACACGGAGCGGATTCTTTTTGCCTTTCCGTTTAAATGGCGCGTGAGACAACATTTTAACATCTCGATATTGTCGATCGACTAATGAAATGCGTACGCAATGATCTTGACTTATTGAAGCACTGTCATCCTCTTCGTCGATTCTTACGGTTCTTTGTATGAGAATTTAATGTAATATCTAAAATTTAAAATTGTTTCTTTACCAGGTGATTACCACTTCTCTCCACATAATTGTAACCTCTACGTTATGCGGTTGCTGCAGGTCTGTCGAAATCACGCGTGTTCTTTATGTATGACGAGTCATGTGTATAGCGAAAGCAGTTATCGAGTCGTTCCATCGTCAAATATTTGCCAGGTGTAACTTATGACATAACGGCTGCGTAGTCGGCTCCGAACTTTAAGCTAATCGCAAATTCGTACGCTGTACTCAGTATTTATCGAAATATCAGTGTTTGCAAAAATCACGGATTCGATGGAGCTTGAATACATATATATGTGCAAAATAAAATTAACAATAAAAATAATGAAAAACATGATTTAACGCTTTTGTATATGCGATAATTTTTGTATTCACCATTAATATTGCTAACACGGACCGGATTCTTGTCGCCTTTTCGTTCAGATGGCACGTAAGCTAAGGTACAAAACAGAAGATAACGCAAGAGGCGGTGTGCGGCGAAATGCTGACGATTAACGAATCGCGTCAGTCACATAAAAGACACAGTACAGTCTCGCTCTCTGAAGCACATTTATCAATTATTCTAAAAAAAAAATTTCTCTTAATTCTAAAAGAAGATTTAAAATGCTGACAGAATCAGAAAGTGATCCACATCGAGTGGATCATTTTTGCCGTCTAAAAATCGACGTCGTCGAGTATTGCATTTATCTATAGGTAGTTCGTCAGATACTTTTATATTATTACATATATAATATTATATTATATTATAATATAATATATCGTAACATTATTCATATTAAAGTTTTAATTAAAAGATATTTCATATTAATGTTAGAAACAACGATCGCGATTAGTCAATAATCTTGATAATCTTCGGAAAATTATATTCATGTAACGGAATGCTGTTGGCGCAAGTTTTAACGCAAATTAAAACGCTGTTTTTGTGTGTGTAAATATAATGACTATAACGACGCTGATAATCAAGATTTAGAGTGGTCCGATTCTCAGGACAAGCAACCCATATATGGCAAATGGCAAAACTTCTTCACGTAACTGTTTTAATAAAACTCATTAATAAATGATGAAGGTATTATTTTCTAAATTTGTTGCTGTTGGTCCTCAAGGTCCAACGCTGTCTGAACGAAAAGTCCAGCGCCGATTCGCAAGGACCGCCGTCGCGTTTACACATGTTAATGATAAAAGATATTAACATGCGATAGAGATTGTGAACTTATTACGTGAGTGCAACGTACTGTTATCGATCGCTGTAAGCGATCGTGTTCGGTCACGCATAATTAGTACGCATATCGTGAGTGGAGGTTCTCGGGACTCCCGTTTGCCGGATTTTTCTCACGTGCGATGTATGTACAGATGTTAACATCAGTTTTGGCATTTTTACATGCGGTACGTAGTGCACGTACGATCACCCGCGTTACATTGTTATGCGCGTCCTTTGTTCCGGCCAAGCGCGACACGGGAACTTCCCGATTATTCTACATAATAGGCACCGTCGTGTGAATGTAAAGTAACCGCGGGGCTGTGAGCCAAGGAAACTTAGAAAGTCAAGATACGTGATTTCTTGTTTCTTTCGTGACAAAATAATATAAGAAAAACTTACAACCTTCTCTCAACGTGAAACGTCCTGTGAGATTTTCGTCGATTCAACAGGATAAATAAGATTCAAGAAAGATATGTAACAACGTAAGCTGTCGCAACGCAATCTGACGTTATTACGACGTTCCATAAGATACAGTAAAATGAGATAGCGAAATGTTGAAATGTTCGCTTCTCGTCGCTCAAGATTTTACTAAAGTGTTTAATTCGATGAATTTCCAGATGGTGTGGTGGAGGAACGTTTCCGTGTGATCCTCGAAGAAGGTGCCAAAACTCCGATGGACTTTGACTGGGTGAAACCGGAAATGCCTCCGTATTACGACGAGAGAAAATTTCGGCTTGGGCAACAAGCTTTCTATAATAACGTGTTCTCGATGATGATTGCAAAATTAACTGGTCTGGTGTCTCTCTTGTCCATCAAGAGCATACTAGACGTAGTTATGTTTACCAAACAAAGCGGTATTCCTTGCCTGGCTTATCGCAGATACGCAATGACGATTCTTCATACGCTAGTGTGGCTCGGAAAGGACCCTGTAAAATCCAAGGAGTAAGCAAAAGATTTGAGACACTAAATATTTGTAGATAAAACAGCTTGAGAAAAAACAGCAATTCCTAACAACATATCTTCGGAAGGAGAATGAGTTATTCACACCAGTTTAATTAGTTAATTTAATTAATTATCAGTTTAAGTAATCGTCGGGTATTTTTCGTCGGTGAGAGAACCAAGAGGAAAAGGAGCGGTGGAGAGTAAATTCCGTTTGAAATATTTCCACTGACCTTCACTTTCATCGCGCGCATTGTGTCGGATTACTCGATGACTCACGACACACATTTGCCGAATTTATATAAGGGTTGACCCCAGGTTACACGATACAAATTGTGCAAATTTATTTTTACCTCTCGTTGCAGATTCCTGGAATCCTTGATGATCGTACGGAAGAAGCATTGCGTTGCATTCAGAAGAAGCACCGAGGCTGGTTTACAGCGGGCAACGCAGCTGGATATGTCGCTGGCCCAGTTCGGATTCATCGGTTACATCATGATCAGCAGCGAGAAACTGGGCATCAAGACCACTCGTGAGGAAATGGAAGGCTTGGTTCATGTTTGGAGGGTCATCGGGAGCATGCTCGGGATGGAGGAGAAGTTCGTAGCCTCTGTTTCCCTCCACCGCACGACGGTTGCATAAAATCTTGCCTTTCCGTTCGTAAATATTTCATTCCGGATAAGTCGCTCACACACAACCGGCTTACACAAGGAATATGAAAATATTTGCTAGTCGCGCATATTATAATATATTTAAAATTGTCTTCGACTCACATAGCGATCTTAAAATCCTACACTGCAAACCCGAGTGTGTTATTTTGACACTGTATAGTAACATGTAAGCTGAAGCTTTCTTCACGCGTTTTTTGTCGTCGCTTAAACGCGTTTAAAGCTTACGTTAAGTGATATCGAAGTGATATCAAACGACGTGATTTCAGACGACCAAAAACGCGTGAATAAAGCTTACACAGGTCAACTTACTATGACAGCTTACACGTGTCAAAATAAAACATACTCGAGTTTATAGTGTAGTAGTAAAGTAGAGAACGTCTTTTGATTTATTACCGCCACGAAGACGACACAATTCACGAGTTTGTATGACTTGCAAATATACACTCTTCCAGATTCAATCTTTGTTCGGGGACAGTCGAGGAAGCGCGCGCTCTTTGCCAAAGGATATTGGACGAGGTGTTCCTACCAGCTCTGACAAACAAAAACGAGCACTTCGACTCGATGGGTCGGGTGATGCTGGAGAGCCTCTGGTGCATCAACTTTGGCATCGACCCACAAGCGTTCATCACGTTCACATATTATCTGGCCTCTTTATCCGCGTGCAACAATAATCATTCCATCGTGACAGGTAATATTCCTGTGGAATGTTTCATATAAACGAATAAAGCAAAGAATACGCGCAACAGACGAAAGCCACTCCACAAAACTCTTTTTCTCATCGCTCCGAGTTTTTGGAAATTTTTGGAATTTTTGGAAATTTCAATATCATCAAATTAATAGCGCCAAATTCAGGGCGCTATTGGAACAATATATTTTTAAGACTAAATGGAGCAAAAAAGTTTCGTACCATTTTTTCTTCTGACAAATAGTTAGCGAGATATCGTGAGTTAAATATTAAAAAAGTTATCAAGTTTTCCTTAAATATCTCGAAAAATATTAGGTAAGTAAAAAAATGTTTCGTACAAAAGTTGTTCAAATTAATTGCTAGAAAAAGATGATGCAGTAAAAAATTGGGGTATCCATTTAAGATTTTTATGTTGATCTTGACTGGACTTTTCAAGGTTATTCCAAAGTCAAATTCATAGCGTCAGTAAATAGATCCTTTGAAGCCCTGCAACTTTTGTCTGAAATATTTTTTCCTAAAACGTCGCGTTAACGAAAAGATCGGGTGAAATACCGCACGGGTATATATTTGTATTTATAACCCCAATTGTTGTGTGATCGAAAAATTAACGCTTTCGATTCCGAGTGTGGGAACTGACCGATCCGACAAGTATTCATGGGAGATACAATATCTTTCGCGTCATTGGCATTTTAAATGGCACATTAAATAATTATATAACTATATAACATATAATATAATTATATACTATTATATTATATATTATATTATATAATATATTATATTATGTTATATATTATAATTATATACTATATAATATAATTGTATAATTATATAACATATAATAATTATATAATAATTAAGTAACGATATTATATTATTTTCAGACACCTCGAGCATGTCGTTTCACAGCAGGTTCTTATTCTCCCTGCAATGTTTCGTGCTGAATTACCTGATGCGACCTACCGCCTGGTGGGCCTGGTTCTTTCGCGCGTTCTACAACAGCCTGATGCGACTCTCGCTCTTCTTGCTGGAAAAATATCCTTATTTTGCTATTCAGAGATACGGCGAGAAGTACGCTAAAGTCAATATCTTCCGTTGAACGTTGAACAACGTTCCGATCGAGCGTTTAACCGAACTGATGAAAGAGAGACGAAGATTTCACGGGATTGTATCGAAATTGTGACGCTCAGAGTAGTGAGACAGACGACGATTACGCGATCTACTATTATTGTATTATTGAATCGCAGGATATCGTAGATTTCCATAAAAAGACAGAAGGACACATAGCACGTTAGTTCAATTGTATCAAATGATGTAATATTACAAGTTTATAGAAGTTAAAGGATGGATGAAACGCTCAATAACGTACGTATTATAATAAGTTGTTATCACTAATAATAAGGTGTTATATGCATGTAACAATGCAATTATAAGAATTGTTAGGGCACAATTATTGGATTGGAGCTTCCAATATCTCTTTGAAGTGCCTGAAGAGAGAAAAAGTATCGGAGACAGTATTATCGCTCATTTGTTAATTGTGATTTGTGCAAATACTTCTGAAATATTCAGATACTTTTTACACGAACAAATTGTATTATAAAACACATTATATTATCGCTCGACTTCTTGACTCAGTTTATAAAACTATCGAACGAATAATAAAGAGAGAAATATAAGAATGCATTTCTTTAAATATAGGATATTAAGACGGCATAAAGCGATTGCCGATTTGACTTGAGCTTTCAACATCAGGATTGTATAATACGCCGCTTGTCTTTGGCGAAATAAATCATGCGAGCATCTTAGTTAATTATAACGAAAGTTAAATAACGTTTCGCACTATATAATATACATTATCGATAAATTCGATAAATTTACTTCGAATGGCTCTCGAGGTATCGAAATCGATATCGACTATCGACCCTGACCGCAGATCCGTGGATCGTGAAGCTCGGCATACTTCACGTTGCACGGACGTATTTCACGCAACCATAACCGTAAATTTCCCTCCCAAGATTCGGGATATTATCCCGTTTTAGCGCACGATGGCAGCCGGTAAGTGTTCTTCACATTCGAGGCGCGTAGAAGGTCAAACTTCCTTTGATGATACCAAACTTGATCTTGACTCTCTCAATCGCGAGGCTGATGTTATCGCTAACGCTAAACGCTCTAGCGTCGCGCGCTATTAAACAAGGTATTATAAAAATAAGATCGCAAGCGCACACGACTGTTAACACGTTATTTGTCTTGTGTGCTCAGTAAAATGTACCATTCTGCCGGCGTTCTCGTGATCTCTCCACGTAACGTAGGCGACGTAACGTGATAACGCAATATCGGCACGATTACATCGACATTAATGGAAGAACGTTTCTTAGGATTCAGCCAGAAGCTGATTTCCGTTCTTTGTAATTTATAATGTGTCGCAAATGAAACGTCATTAGATACATCGATTTGTCGCAATCGCCGAGCGGATCGATGAAATTCGTATCGCGAATACGTCTCGTGCTCGCGACGTTCGAGAACGACGCGATGAGAAAATATTATTTCGCGCGGCTTTCGTACCAGCCGCGCGTTGTGGGGACACGCGCGTAATGGCCACGTGCGAACGTGACCCATTTGCACGCCATGTCAATTGCAGGCCCGCCCGGCTGCGTCTAATTGTACCTCGTCAAAACAATTTTTCTCCTTGCATACCTCTTCCGGTGTACACTCGGCCGATGACTAATAGACGGCGCATAAAAGCAACCGCGCGGTTCATCGACAACAACAACTCGACATTGCGACACGGTATTGTGCGCAAGGACGTCATTGTCATTGTGTTAAATATCGATAGGAAAGGCTGCAATTGTGAAACGCAAGGTACGCGCGTGTCACAATTGCCAGAAAAAATTCACGCCGATGTCAACAATTACACACAGTCTCCTCCTTTTCGTATTCGCGCTGAGCGCCTTCGCGAAGCGCTCTGCGCGTACTTTTCTGCTCAGAACAGAACAGCGCGGTTCCAAATTCGTCCCCGTCCTATTGCGGATTAATCGGTTAATCGCGCTTTTCAGAATTGGCAAGCCGATAGAATCGCGAGCAACGGTCGAGAGAATCGCACGCATCGAGAACACAGGCTCGCACACGTCGCGTGCGGCTGCTGTTGGGATGTCGCAGGAGAACCATAGTCCGCTCCTCCGTAAAAGATCCGTAAAAGGGAGGAGCTGTACCTGCGGATGGGAGGTGAAGTTCGGCTACGGCGTGGCTTTCACGCTGGCCGTCTTCGAGGCCAAACGCTTCCTCGCGTTCGCCTTGGAGATATTCGCGGAGTGGCAGGTGATCCGCTTCGCAGGTGGCTTCCAGCCGGTTGCTCTCACCTTGGCGGACGTGACTCTGGGATTACCGTGCGCCCTTATAACCGTACGCACTATACGCAGGTAAATGCATGTGCATCTATCCGGTGGCAGATAAATAAGCGACGCTCATTTGTAGGCTCGCGGCACAACTCGAGTTAGAGCGACGACGTCTCGCGCGCGCATCTTCTTTGCCTTACCTTCGAATTAATAGGGAGCTTTTGCAACACCGGCTCTCAGATACGCTAAACCCCGGGGTTGATCGTGAATGCTATTTTAGTCGCGTACATACGTTGCCATGTTATTTCTGTGTTATTACTATGTTGTTTCTGAGCAAATAACGTTTCACGATTTACGCTTACCGCTTACCACAGAGAGAACGATTTAGTTGAATTTAACAAATGCTTATTTGGAATAGTCCAAACGAAGTTTTGTTTGACGCAACAAAAATATTTTGTTGCAGCTTAGTTCCAACGAGATGTTTTTGTCGCGTCGAACAAAATTTTGTTCGATCAATCAAAAAAATTTATTTCGACTATTCCAAATAGGCATTTGTTAGATTCAACTGAATCGTTCGCTCGGTGTAGTATATCCGAGAGTCCGATATTGCAAAAACTCCCTAATTAGTACCTATGAATGATTTACACTAAAGAGCAAGTGACGATCAATTGACGATCTCAACGCACCGATGGCGCGATTTTGCAGAGGCTGGTCGAGTTCTCGTACGAAGAGCCACGTACGAACTGGCCGAGTATTGAGATGCCTCCTGGTGGCGGTGGTCGTGTGCGCCGCTCTGAATACGGCGACCCTAGCTTCGATAGGGTGCCACATCAGTGTGAGGCGGGAGACGCTGGTTGACGTCTTCAACGCCTCCATGCGGCTGTACGTGAGCACGGCCTCTTACAAATATGCGATTGACGAGATTCAATTTGCGCTGCAGTGCTGCGGTCACACCTCTTACGTCGACTGGTTCCGCCTCGATTGGCAGGTAAGCTTCCGACGATGCTCGAGACCCGCTTCGCTCGTCATCTTTCCGAAAGCATCCGCGTCCGCGAGAGAGAGAGAGAGAGAGAGAGAGAGAGAACAATGACGGACTTTGTCTCGGTGATTGTCGCTTTGACATGATTTATCGTGGCATCGTGGTGGCTTCGACCGCGCACGACTCTTTTTCACGCTCGGCCGTTGGAAGAACGTCGTCCTCGTCGTTTGACATTAATAAATCTCTCTCTCTCTCTCTCTCTCTCTCTCTCTCTCTCTCTCTCTCACTCAATGCCGCTATAATTTCTGTCGCTTTCGTAATGTTGCACTCGAAGGATCGCCGTCCGTATCAATTGACATCTCGTGATTTGTACCGACCACGATCTATGATATCTCAGGCGATGATAAGGCATGAAAGGCAGGAAGGATACGTGCACAATTGAGTTGACTCAATCGTACGCAATTTTTCCCCGTTAACTATTCTCCCTTTCTGTCTTTGCATTTCGCAAGAAGACAAATTACGCGTCCGAAGAGGAGACGACGGGACAGGACGGAATCTCGGACGAGGACTACAGAGATCGCGGGGTCCCCTTCAGCTGCTGCAATCCGCACGCGATGGGGCCGTGTAAGCACACGGAGCTGGCGGATGACGAAACGATAAACGTCAACGGCTGCGCGGAAGTCATCAGCTCCATTCTTCTGAGGATCGTCATAGTCGCTTACATCATGACCAGCACTTTAATCGCCACTCAAGTGCTATTAGCCTTCTTAATCGCCCGAGTGCGTTGTTTTGCTTAATCTATTTCAAATGGACGCGCATTCGGCCCCCTTGGGGCCCAAGATACCTCACGATGGGCGCAATTAGCGTTTATCGTTTATCTTACAAGCGGAAGAGTCTATTTTGTGTGTGTGTAAAGAATTCATCGAAGCGGACGCTTGCTATGTAATCAATCGATTCTTAATTTCTTTGCAGACGATCAGTAAATTCTTACCTCTTCGATCGTCCTTTCCTCGCGCGAGACACTCCACCGCGCCATTCACCATTATAAACATGTCTTCAAGGACCTACGTGCCACGATTTTCCTCGGTGAAGAAATCCGCCTGGTACAGGAGACCGAACGCCCGTTCATCGTCGGCGAACGATGTCTGCATCAAGGAAAACCGGAAAGCTAGATCGTCTGCGGCGAGGTGCAGTTGTCCTATTTTGAGTCGCGGGTAAGAGGATGAGTCTCTTTTAACGTGGAAATAGCGATAACTTTTTTTCGATCATCTTCCAATGAAAAATCACCTGTTGTTCTTGTCACATGCACTTGTTCAATGTGTGCGGATACTCCGTTGCTGGGTAAAATCTAATCTTGCGAGCATTTTGATCAGAATCAATGTCGAATTACCTCGAATGTTAACTCCAACTCACACGACTCGCGCGACTCATATGACTTCGGGTTCTTGTTTGGCAAAATCGGCACTTAAGCACCGACAGATAAATGTAACGAGACGGTATTTCATACAGTAATACCCGGGAGATTGCGAAGATTAAGCCGAGCGTTCACGAGGAGCACAGAGTATCTGTGAAACGTCTCTGCAACAAGCGCGTGCGTTGAGGCTCCTTTGTGCTAATTATCTGCAGATCTCCTGACTGATTAGAGCAACAGCTCTTTCGGGCAACTGCGCGTTATCGACGGCAAAATACTAATTACTGCTATTAGAGAGGTAAGTCGTGACACACACAATATACGGACGAGCGATGCTCCGGTGGGGTGGGGATAAGCAGTTAAATTTCCTACATGAAACTCAAGATCAACACACGAGCTCAGTGTGGTTGAAAACATCGTGCGACGGTGACTCGTTATGAGTATTATCGTGATGTAAGTATCTGCAATCGACGCACATCCGCCGCTCATTTAGGCTCATTAGGCTCGCCCCAATAACTCGCGAATCTCACTCGCGAACGACTAATCGCCCCGCTGATGTGACCGAGATGACCTCGGTAATGAATGAATAACGAACTATCGATATTGGATTAGGGATCTTGATTGATCGACTAATGAGATTAGATCGATCACGCCTTTTTACCGGCACGTTCGATCATTCGATCGTTACACCTCGCATCGAACGCATTAATAATTTTGCGGTATCGATTCTCGTGTAATTCTCAAGAGCGCAGGCGAACTTCTGGTGTAGACGGTTGCGATGGACGCCGACCGTGGTATTTGATACGCGTTAATCTCGCGTGCTTCTCACTGTGTGCTTCTTCTGTGGACCGCGGCGACTGTAATAGAACTGGTGACGTCCCGCAAGAGAGAGAGAGAGAGAGAGAGAGAGAGAGAGAGAACTTGCTCTTCTTATTGCATTTCATCGGCGCTTTCGCAAGCTGAAAATACGGTCGCGGCCGAAAAGACGTTATCCCAAACGAGGTTTGCGGCTCCGGCAAGCCAACAACGTGAAGATAAAACCGCATCTGGCTTCGTGATTTAGATGACATTAATTTTAAAATAAACTAGGTATATACGAGAGAAATAGAGACAATGTGAGACAGGGAGAACAATGTGCGAATAAAAGAAAGGTTTTTATAAAAATTAAAAGATTTATTTGAAATAATCGAGTTGAAAAATTGCACAAAATCGGACGTTGTTTTATAAAGTAATTCGCAGAGATCGGGTCTAATGGGGCAGTCTCGAAAATTTCGATAACGGATTTATCGGATTTATATGAGGAATAACAACAACAAAGCGTCATTGTTTCGTCAAACAGCGCAGGCTTGCGCATGTACTCTGAAGAAACAAACAGACACCGACAGATCGTCTGCTGTGTGCTGATTTCACACGATCATTCTCTTTCCGCGGTTACAGCGACGGAGAAAAAAGAAGGAACGTGAGAAAAGTAGAAGAGAAAGAAGCGATATAGGTTGAGTAGATTGTGTTTGGAAACAAAGAGCCGCCGAATACGTGTGAATGCGTATTATTTTCAAACCAGTCAGAGCGACGGAGCTCTCTCGGAATTAAACGTTCCGATCGTCGTGAAATAAAAGCAGAACGCGAGCGGGAGCGTGTTTCAATTTCGATGAAATGCGCCTTCGCGCGACACCATCGAGATACCCTCGACGACACTCTCTACAAAAACCTCGAAATATTAACTTGTAAATTCGTATGAACAATATCAATATAACAGCATACAAACATACATATCGGATCGCGCGCGGCTGTCCCGCGGCTCGCCACGGGAATCACGACTCGCTTCGCTAATTGCGCATTATACGTCGGCGGTCTTCAGCGCAAACATAATAACCAGATTTCATTGTCTCGATGTAGAGCCAGCTTTCATGCCAGACGTGCTCTAAAGAAGCAAACAAAGGAGCGCGGATAATCCGCCCGCCGGAGTGTGTGGATCTTCTGATTTCGCGTAGCCGCGCGAGACGTCGCGTCGCGCGGCACTCGCTTGAATCCGCCGGCCGTTCGGCGGCGCTCGGGAGCGCTCGGCTGTACTCGGCGGCGCTCGGTAACGCGCGCGGCGTGCCCGAACGTTCGCGACTTACAAACGGCGCGATCAGTTCGCGAGCAGCCGCGTGTCGATACGGTTGGAGGATTTCACATTGTACTGTCATTACTCGGCGATTACTTTCGACCGCCATTCCATCGTCATAGCATGTACTCACCAGTTCGCAGCCACGTCCACTGCTTGCCGCATCACCAGCCACACAATAAACTCGTCTCTTACGGCTACCGTTAATCGGCCATATTTCGCGGCTCTCGCTTTCGCATGTGATAGATTAGTGCGGAGAATCGCAACCGTCGTCGTGCTCGAGTCAGTCGTGGAGGAGTGATCGTGAATATATCCGTAGAAGTGATAGTATGATATTCTCTTGGATATTCCAGTGAGTCTCACGAGCGCCTATACCGGGTGGCTGAGTCGTTCGCGCGTGAAGTGTAAAGTGGCTGATTTTTTTTCACTCTCGCTAAGCCGCTGCCGCGTTCGGCGAGAAGAAGAGAGATAGAGAAAGAGGAGAGAAAGCGGTCGAGAGCGGTCTCTACGAGAGCGACGTTGCAGACAGTGAGTAGTGAGTGAGAAAGAGGAAGACAGCCTACAACCCGGTGTGCGAAACAGATTTCCGGTGTGTGGAGGAACCGATAATCAGATTTCCAAGGGGAAGACTCCGTCTCTCAGGCAGAATGAGCTGCTGTACCAGCGCGCCCATCGTCACGCAGACTTGCGAGACTCTTCTCAGCAAATGCGAGATCCCGATCATCGACCTCGCTCATATGGGTGAGTGGTTTTTTTTATTTCGATCTACCGGGTCGCTCTCGATCGGACGATTCGCGTTTATGCGTGCGAGAAACGGCAAAAGAGAGACAGGGAAAAAGACGGAGAGAGACAGAGAGAGACAGACAGACAGACAGAGAGAGAGGGAGAGAGAGGGAGAGAGAGAGAGAGAGAGAGAGAGAGAGAGAAAGGTGCGTGTGATACGCAGGAAACGACTCCGACATCCTGTTCGCGGAACTTGCAGGTCGCGCTCGCGCGACTGAGAGATTTCGCGAAACGTTATTTCGAAATCGGTGTTTGCGAGACAGTAGCGCACTGCAAACGTTTTTCCCATTCGATCGTAAAACGCGCGACGGGTTACGGAATGTAATGAAACTGGGACTGGGCCGTGCGCGCGGACTCGGCGAAAGATCTCAGCGCGCTCGGTGTCGCAAGTCGGTCATAGGTCGTCGGTGACGAAAGTAAGTGCCATGGCAAAACTAGACGAGACGCACCTAGAAATCACTGGCGAGAGAGAGAGAGAGAGAGAGAGAGAGAGAGAGAGAGAGAGAGAGAGAGAGAGAGAGAGGGAGAAAACACATGACGTCGATTCATCGGAACGGTCCGGAATTCGGCCAGGAGATTGTGTTAACTTCGGGATTGTTGACTTACGCGCTTGTAAAACCTTGCATACGCTGCATAACGTGGGCATTTATATTGTTGCTAATAGAAAACAGTGATGCTTCATTAGGCCGCTAATGAGTCGGCCGATCGATGAACGTCGTTTGCAACGACGGACTTGACAATTAAGCGGCGGCCGTTAATTTCTGCCGACATTCTGTCGGCCTTGAAATTACCTCACATCCACTTTGCGTTGCATTTCTTATTAATCAGATTTCAATTTGCACATTAAAGTCGTCGCGACGTGCGCGAATGAATTATCTTATAACATCGAAAGGATACGTCGGTGAACCTTGATTCAACTTTGACTTCATTTATCATATCTCTTTCTCTCGAGAGAGAGAGACGATTCGATTATTGTCATCGTATCGAAAACTGCGTGCGTGTGTAGACGCGCGTTTGTGTGTTTCGAGTGCCGCAATAAAATCTGAAATTCGGCATTTCGTACTCCACCGTTTTGAATTTTGCTCGTCGTCGTCGCCTCGTGCAGATTAACGCGTTAAACTCCGCTCCGTTTCTTTTGACTTTTTCTTTTTGGTCTTTTTCAACACGGCAAGAGAACGTGTTAACGATACGCGGCGCGTAGGCGACACGCTTTTTCGCGCGCGAACGGATGCACAGAGTGTCGTAAAAATAAATGATTGACATTTATTTATCGCCGCGTCTAATATAAGTTCCAGCCAGCTGAGCGCGTTTACGTTGTTTCCGACGTTTTTAAGCACTCTCTGCCCATCTGTCCCCAAGCGGCGTATTCGTATTCGTCCGTCATACGGCCCTGCAATTATTTTCAATCCATTCGAATTTACTCTTACCCGAGAGAGGTCATATTATTATTATTGCATTTGATTTCATTTCGAAACACCATCCGGCCGATATTGCCGTTACGTCACAAAGATTTGCCGCTCGAGCGAGTCGAGAGGAAAACAAGCGATCACAACTAATTCTTTCAATGTTCCTTTTATCATTGTTATCGCTGAATTGTACGAGCTGCACGTCCATGGAACCCCCGATCAGCTGATCGCGTCGAGCGAATTTCGAAACTCGGCGAGCGGTCGTGCCGCGCCGCGCCGGTAGACAGTCGGGAGAGAGACACCCTGTATAAACGGTCCGAGGGCGCCAAGGGAGGGGCCCTTCTTTGTGAGAGGGGCTCTGACCTCAACGGATCGTCGGACCCGTGGTAGGCGCCTCCGGTTGCCGCTGGCTGCTTCGTCTGGCTAGGTGCCTGGCCTCGTTGCCAAGCAACCGTAAAACCGTCGCCTCTCTTTCTCTCTCTCTCTCTCTCTCTCTCTCTCTCTCTCTCTCTCTCTCTCTCTCTTTCAACAAATCCTCGAAATTCCTCGTGACTCGCGCGCACCATCCGGTCCCCGACGTGGTGCATCGTCCTGTCGGAGACCCCAGACAAACGAGAATTCGCTTGAACTCCGCCTACGGGGAGTTTCCTTTTCGGCAATCATCGGTTTAGAAACACACGTGTCGCACGCGTGTGCTTCGTGAATTTTGGAGACTCGTCTCGCACGTTTGCCCGGTCAGTCGTTGACATATTTCCTGGTCTCACTGACGACGTTTGTTCGTCCCGCGGCGAAAAAGAAGGTGAAAAGCACGTGTCCGTGCGATAAAAACAACGCGTCAACCTAGAGCCGATAGTTCGTTGGCGAGGGTCTCCGAGGAAACGAGTCGCTTAATTTCATTAGTTGACGCGGAAGAAACGGGCAAAAAGAGCGCGACCGATTAATCATCGATTCTATTAAGGTCGAGTAATTATTCGTCACCGTGTATTGAAAGCGGTCGAACGTAACGCCGCGCCGCACCGGCTGTTGTTTACCAGCTCGTGTTGTTATTTCTTCTTTACACGCGCTGCCGGAAAAATTTTGAGCCGTCCGTTCGTCGGGGGTCCCTTGAAGTCGCGAAAAGTCATTTCCTTTCTTTCCTCGTCTGGACTTGCCGTTAATGAGCTGCCTGCTGAATATATGTGAGCAGCGTGTTAAGTCGCGTGCACATTTGAGCGACGATTCGGCTCGGCTCAGCGCAATATCCCTTGGAACCCGTCACGTTTTCGCGAAACTTTCTCCGCAATTTTCACCCCGCAAGAATCTCGACAGAGAGAGAGAGAGAGAGAGAGAGAGAGAGAGAGAGAGAGAGAGAGAGAGAGAGAACAACAAAAAAGAGCCGACCGATCACCGCGAAATAACCCGCGAATTATTCGCTAAAGTCACGTACACACCGAGCGATGGGACGAGAAGCGCCTTCACCCTTGTTACGTTTTCCCGCGCAACCTCTTCCCGAAATTGTCTCACGAGGCTTTCCAGAAAATAGCCTGTCGCATCGATCACGTCGGCGAATGACTCGACGTGAATTCTTTAGAGAGTCGCTCCGGCGCGATCGCGCGATGTGGAAACTCGGAGATATTGGGACACGGTACGCCTGCTGTCTAAAGTCGGTCGTCGCGCAATAGACTGTAATCGCAATTTTGTTCGACCCGCTGATGAGCTACTAATGCGAGCCAAATTTTCGGTTACGTTAGCCTGCGCCTGCGATTATTAACTTGCATCAGGCCGCCGAAGCCACAGTGTGTGCACAGAGATTGTCGAAAGTTTAGCCGGTGTGCCATTTAAAGATCACCATGCGCCGCCAATCAGCGCTCTCACGTTGCTATTGATCACCTATAATCCAACGATTACGTTTCAACACGTGGACGGTATCGAAGGTACACGCGGTCACTCTCGTGTGCTCGCACGTCGATCTCCCGTAGATGACTTTTCGGCGAGTCGCAAGAGTGACTCCTCCGCGCGGCTTCCGGACGACGCACAGCCTGTTCGTCGTCGCGCGTGAAAGACACATGAGAAAACGAACAGATCAGCTTGAATCAATGTGACACTGGACTTAACGGACGAAATTCTAGAGGTCTAAGAGGCAGAGATTCCGTTTCTTTCGTCCGTTTTTTCGCCGTGCATTTGTCATATTTTTCTAACCACTCGCGCGTGTATCATTCCACTTACACAATTATCGCCGGTGCGGCATACTTCCTCCTTCCCCTCCCCCCCCTTCCTCGCCATTTCCCGTTTCTTTTATTATTTTCTGCGCGCTTAGCTCAGTGTGTCCAAAGCGATCGATGTCCGACGATCGGCCGGTCGCGCTCGCGCGAGGAAAGTCGCAGCGCGAACGCGCTGCTTCGTCGCGCAAACTAGAACACGCGCGTGCATTCCTGGTCGGCTTAACGCTCGAGTTTGCACGCGGCTTAAGCAGCATGTAACACGGCGGCGTGCACGCGTCACACGTCATGGCCAATAAAATATCTCGCGCGCCTTTATGCCCCGACGCAGTGTTAGATAATGATTTAAGCGGCCGCCGCGCGAGCGGAGAGCAATAATGGCTCGCTCTCGCCGAGAGAGAGACGCGCGAGAGAAAATCGCGCCCGCTGCGCTCCGCATTTCGCGATTTGGCTTGCTGGCGATCTCATTCTCGCTCGCGTGCTTCTCTCTCTCTCTCTCTGTCTCTCTCTCTCTCTCTCTCTGTCTCTCTCTCTCTCTCTCTCTCTCTCTCTCTCTCTCTCTCTCTCTCTCTCGCCGGACAGTGGTCCATTTTCGATCCATGAAGAAATCCCCGGGACCGCCTGAACAGTCCCCGAAGTCGACGATCAGATTGCGTCATCGTGTAAATGTCGACGTTCGTCGTGAATTCGCGTGTGAACTCGGAGTCTCACTCGGAGGTGTTAATTGAATTCACCTTTTCTTCGGCTCTGTTTTATATATCCGCGCCGGCGCGGCGTCTCGAGACATTGACTCGTTTCCGACTCGTGTCGAAAAAGTCCTGGAAACGGCCTGAATAATCTGCCAAGGTCCTTCTCAAGTCCAGCCGTTGATGCTGGTGATATTCATTATTAATTTCGCGTGTATTGCTCCTTGAAAGAAATCGACTTTTTCTCTTTGTTTTGCTCCACTTTATGCGCTTGCTCGCTCTCCAAGACTGCGTCCCGAGACATTGATTTGTTTTCGATCCGTGAGGAGCTTCTCGAGACGGTCTGAATAATTTCCGAAAGCCGCCCTCCTCAAGTCTAGTCTGATGATGAGCGAGATCCGATCGTTAGAAAATTGATTTCTTCTTCGACAGACCGATCTTTTCAACAGAAAATCGAGTTTCGTTGATGTACTTGTTCATCAATGTTGCTTCGTTTAACTCTTCAACGCCTATTCTGGTAACTATAGTTACCAGAAACGCACTTAAGAATCCATAACTTAGTGAAGAAAGGAGATATTTTCGGTTTCTTCGCATCACTGTAAAGGTGAATTCTTCTTCTAAGAAATGGTATACAGATTGTGTGCAGATTCGGTTTAGTCTAGTTTTAG